GCCGTCGACCTTTCAGTTTGCCATGAACTCGATTTTTAAGAGGTACCTACGTACGTTTGTATTAGTATTCTTCGATGATATTTTGGTATACTCGAAAACATGGGCAGATCATCCCGAGCACTTGCGAGTTGTTTTGGGGATTTTGGAGGCTAACTCATTCTACATCAAACCGTCCAAGTGCTCGTTTGCTCAAGAGGTGGTCGAGTACCTTGGGCACTTTATTTCTCATGAGGGTGTTAAGGTGGACCCAAGGAAGATCGAGGCAATGGTGGGGTGGCCGAAGCCCGCGAGCTTGACGCAGTTGCGAGGGTTCCTTGGTCTTACGGGCTATTATCGCAAATTCGTGAAGGACTATGGAACCATCGCGAAGCCACTCACCGAGATGACGAAGAAGGGGGCGTTCAAGTGGACGGAGGCGAGCGAGAAGGCTTTCGAGGAGCTGAAGGAGGCCATGACGACCACGCCAGTGCTCGCCATGCCGAGGTTTGATGTGTTGTTCGAGATTCACTCGGATGCGAGCGATATTGGAATCGGGGCTGTTTTGGTGCAGGAAGGACGACCCTTGGCCTATCTCAGCAAGGCACTTGGGCCAGCGCGCTTAGGGTTGTCCGCGTACGTAAAGGAAATGCTGGCCGTGGTCGAGGCCGTGCGCGTGTGGAGGCCGTATTTGCTTGGGCGACGCTTTCGGATTGTCACGGACCAGCAGCCGCTCAAGCACTTGCTCGAACAAAGGATCGTGACGCCCGAGCAGCAGAAGTTCGTGTCCAAATTGGTGGGGTTCGACTTCGAGATAGTGTATCGACCTGGTCGCCAAAACACCGTAGCCGACGCATTGTCTCGCCAGGAAGACGTGGCCGAGCTCGACGCGGTAACGGGGCCAACGTGGGTCGTTTGAGCCGAGCTTCGAAAGGCACAAGACGAGGATGCGCATTGTCGGGATGTGATCGAGAAGCTGAACGTGGGACACGACGAGGACCATGACATGCACGATGGCTTGCTCCTTTATCACGGGCGAGTCGTCGTGCCCAAGGCTGGATCGTTGCGCGAGAAAATCATCCGGCACTTCCACGACTCGAAGTTTGGAGGACACTCTGGGGTGTTCCGGACATGGATGAGGATTGCAAGCACTTTTCATTGGCCAGGGCTAAGGGGCGATGTGCGCGACTACGTTGGGCGATGTGATGAGTGCCAACGCACTAAGGCGGACGCGCGTCGACCAGGCGGGCTGCTCCAACCCTTGCCGGTTCCCGCACGAATTTGGGAGGACATCACCATGGATTTTATCGAGGGGTTGCCACTCTCGAACGGGTTCAATGGAGTGATGGTGGTAGTCGACCGTCTTACCAAGTATGCGCATTTTATTCCACTTACTCATCCATACACGGCTAAGTCTATAGCAAAATTATTTGTCGAATATGTGATGAAATTGCATGGGGTGCCGCGACCAATTGTGTCCGACCGAGATCGGATATTTATGAGTAGTTTTTGGTCAGAGTTCTTCAAATTGCAGGGAACCGAGCTAAACATGAGCTCGTCATACCATCCACAAACCGACGGACAGACGGAAGTCACCAATCGCACGCTCGAGCAGTACCTTAGGTGCTATGTGCATCAATTTCCAAAGCGATGGGAGGATTATTTACCTTGGGCCGAGTATTGGTATAACACCACTTACCATAGCTCGACTAAGGCAACGCCGTTCGAGTTGGTGTACGGGCGCAAACCGCCGACGATCGTGAGTTACTCGATGGGGAGCGCCGTGAACGACGAGGTCGATCGAGAGTTGGTGGAACGAGACTTGATGTTGCGCGAGCTAAAGCGGACGTTGGAAGGCTCGATCAATCGGATGAAGGCGTACCATGATGGCAAGTGGCGTGACGTAGAGTTTGAGCCCGGGGACTGGGTATACTTGAAGTTGAGGCCATTTCGACAAAGGACGGCCGCGCAAAGGGCCGCGACCAAGCTCGGAGTTCGATATTACGGACCTTATAAAATTTTGGCCAAGGTTGGGAAGGTTGCTTATCGACTTGAGTTGCCGGGCGATTCCCATATTCATCCGGTCATACACGTCTCGCAACTCAAGCAACGACTCGGCGAGGCGCATACGGCAAAGGATCGACTACCCGCGGTCGCGCCGGACGGGCAGGTTATTGTGCGGCCTAGCCGCGCGATGGAGTACCGACAAGTCAAAAAGGCTGGGAAATATTTTTGGGAGGTACTTGTCGAATGGGAGGACTTACCGAGCGAGGAAGCCACGTGGCAAAGTTGGGAAGAGATGCGCGAGATGTTTCCCGATTTCTTCCTTGAGGACAAGGAAGCACTTGAAGGGGACGGGAATGATGAGAACACCGCAAGAAGATTAAAGAATGCTGCGCGCCGCGCTTATCATGCACGATGGAGGTTAAGCCGACGGGTTGCCCAGGCCCAACTCATTAGCGGACATGCGGGCGCGGACGGTGACGTGCGCAAGAATCTCGGCCAAAGGTGCATTAGCGCGGGTACGAACGAGGAGGTTCACGCGCGAGCAGGCCTAACCACGCAAGGAGTAGGGCGCGCGAGGGCAGCACGCGCGCAATGGCGGCTTGAATCGCAAGCAAGAGATATTCTAGATATTTATTTACTTGTTTTCTAGTTTGTTTAGGACTCCTATTATTTTATTGCTTTATTAGAGTTATAGTTATATTAGGACTAGATCTAGTTGATGCCTATATAAAGGCCGTTCCTTGTTATTTTTCGGCATTCAGAAATTAATACGAAAATCCAAACTTTTATTCAAACACTTTGCTCTAGTTTTCTTCTTGAATTCTTTTGCAATTTTATTCGTTAGAAAGGCTGCGAGTGTGCGACATCCTAACACCTATCGAGCGATTTAAGGCGCGGGAGCGGCTCGTCGACAATCGGGACACACGATCTTCATCATCGCGCCCCGACGTTACGCCGCCGAACGCCAATGCGTCCCAGTCGACGTCCACGACTCGCCCGCCAATCGAACTCCTGCGTGTATCATCCTGATCCGTCCACCCGCGCGCATCATGGGCCGATGCGCGCCATTCGCCCATTAGCCGATCGTCGTCGCCCTTCTCGTTGGCGATCGTCACCGTTGGTTCGGGCCATGGGTCCCAACCTTTCAACCTCTCACAATCCTCCATCGGTATCCACCATCCACCTTCAACCCTTTTCAAACCACGCCTTCTAGCCTCCTTCTTCTGTGCTCGTCTCTTCTTTGTACAAGGCTTACACCAACAATATGATTCTTTAGTCTTCGCCTTGCGTTTCCTTTGTGCTTGTTTGGTCCTGTGCTTCTTGATCTTCAATTTAGCCCGTGGACCACACCCTTTCGGCCAGTCCCTTTTCCATGACGGTCGATAAATCGGACTAGATGGCTCCTACAACATGTTTTCCAACCAAATATCGAGACCATCGTCCTCCTCCTCGTCGGACTCGCCAGGGTTGATGACCACTTCCGTATCACGCGCGTTGCCAGTCGCGCGGTTGGCTGCCTGGCGCGCTGCTGCCGCTGCGTGCGGACAGCGCGGCCACGGCCGACCCTTGCCGGCCGTCCGGCAATTGCTCCCGTGCACTCTGACCTCAATACACATAATCTAACTCAACATGAACATAACTATGGAAATAACTTGAAAACAGAACTTTTCGCACGATCAACTGAATGGGCTTTGGCAAGCGCGCCGTGCGCCGCCGACGGCGAGAGGCCGTGTAATATCCCGATATTTTATCGGTACAAATTATGTTTTAGTTCCGATATAATAACGTTACCGTTTATTATTTTCGGAATTAATTATTTTCAGTCGAGATTACCGAAATTTATTTTCGATGTACCGTTACGTTCGGAATAATTTTGGTAATTAAGCATTATGTTTAATTAAATAATTAAACATAAGTAGGTGATTAATTAAACATTAATCACACGTTAAAGATTATAAGCTATGTTAATTGTTCCCAAATGCCCTAAAGTGCCGTACGGATATTTCATCATATTCCCAATTTTTTTTTCAAGTATTTCCTAAGGTTGAAGGAAGCAATTTTTCCTTTCATTTTCTTTGCTGCTCACGTGCTTTGTTTGGGATAAAAGTGAGGTGATTAGTCATCAATTTAATCACCTAAGTAGCTAGCATTTGGAAAGAAAAGAAGAGGCCACGTCTTTCACTCATCATCACCATCCTATGGCCACTAAGTATATAAGCATTAGTTTGGTTGAAATTTTCTTCACTTTTCCCATAAGAGAGACGATCGGCCATATATATTATCCCTCTTCAGCAGCTACATAGTGCTTCTTTCAGCAGCAAATATCCCATGCCAAAATTTCATATTTTCAGCAAGTGCTTCAGCTCCCTACTTCAAGCATATCATAGCATCGCTCGGCAATCGACGAAGTACCGCACGGCGAGTATCGCACCGGCACGCACACGCAAAGACTTGAGCAATTTCGATATTCCAGCGAGTAAGTACGAAGGTATAGTCGTCCTCGACTTATGTTTATGGCCGTAAGTTCATTTTAAGTTAAAGTGTTCGATACACGTTCGAGAATTTTTAGTAAGGCCGTGTTATGGTCCGATTGGGCCTAAGTAAAATCGTGATCGAATAATTTTTCATTTTACCCGACAACTCTCGAACTATTTACATTTAATTGTTCAGTTTAGCTTATTTCACGTCCAGTAAGTCCATGTTAGTCGAGGCAAAATGATGTTCTAACGAGGAAGTGGCTCAAGTCGTCGCTAGCGCTTATCGCGCGTGGCCATGGGCAGCCTCGGGTTATGTTTTATTGCCTTCAGTAATGATCATATTCGTCGGTGTGTTTATGTCTTAAATTGCCTCAAAATAATGTTCATGTTAAGTTGTTCTGGATTTGCCGCGGGAGAAGGTGTTTTGGTCGGGAGACAGCGTATAGCCGTCGGCGGCGCACGGCGCGCTCGCCACGGCCCCTTTCAGTCGATCATGTGAAAAATGCTATTTTTCAAGTTAATTTATGTAACCATGTTTATACTACGTCATAGTAGGTTGTTTAAGGTCATGATTGTCAAAGGTATTCACCAGGCGGCTGGTGAAAGTCGGTTGTGGACGCGCTGCCGCACGTAGCGGCAGCAGCGTGTTGGCACACAGACAGCGTAGGCTGCCAATGTATGCGCCTGCCCGCGAGCTGCGGCACTTAGCCACTCGCGGTAGCAGTCAGCGGTCAGTAAGGCGTACGCCGGACGTCCAGCAGTCCAGTACGCGTTCAGCGGTCGCTTGCAGCGTCGCCTATGCGTGCCTGCGATCAGTTCATGCCCAGTGGCGCCGCAGCAACGCGCCAGCACGCGTGATGACGGATCGATCTTTTGTCTATACTTGGGTTGCGAATAAACGGCGCACTGCGGCCTTCGTTTATCCCCGATAGGCGTGTCTAACAGACGCACTGCGGCCTTCTCCTAGACACCGTGACTTCAAGACGCACTAATGGCCTTCTCTCCGACACTGTATGTAAACACGCACTAATGGCCTTGTTTATCACACGTTAAGAACATAAAGTTCCCCCTCAAGATTGGCTCACCAATTCAATACTTCATTCAACTTGTAAAATATGATGAGGTACATGGGGTATTTATAGTTGCAAAATAAATCTAAGCCTAAATCTACTAGATCTCCTAAATCTACTAAATATCTTAATTAAAGCAATTAAATAATAACTAACCTAATATTCTAGATATTATTGTGCAAGAGGGAAACTAAATATATTAGTCCTAATTGACTAGATTGTCTTGATCTTGCTTGGCTTGCACTCCAAACAATTCCAAGTCTTGTGCTTTCCAAAACGTTCGGCCGCCTCCCCCACGCACGCCGCCTCTCGTGCGCGCCGACCTCACGCCTTGCCTAGGCCTCCATGTGTTAGGCATCGCGCGCCCACCGACCTTGCGCTGCCCAGTCCTGCCATGCCTAGGACTTCCGGGCATCCGTCTCGCACGCATGCGCGCGTGCACGCGGCGACCCTCGCCTATGCCTATTGCGCATAGGCATGCGCTCCTGCCAGCTGCCTCGCGCCCGTGCCAATGCGTGCCGGCCACTCCTATTCCTTCACGGATTAGGCCGTCGCCCGCGTGCGTGCCATTAGCGCGCCATGCGCGCCCAGCACGTCCCTCGCTCGCCGTCCTACCGCAACAATCCCTAGCGCGCATCTTCCACCCAACATCCACCCCTGCGCGCCACTTCGCCTAATCTCCAAACGACATGCACGTCTACGCCAATGCGCGTGTGCGCGCCTTTGTGTACGTGCCGCTTCTCATGTGCTCGAGTGCCCCGCATGTTGGAACCCACGAGGATCTCGATATGCACAAATCACAGACAAACATTCAACATAAACCTATGCGCAGCGGATCTAAAGGTTTGATGAAGAAAACTTACTGCTTAAAATTTATGTAGATCTGGCTGGCCCGGACAGTTGACCGCAAATCAAATCTTC